ATTTTGTCTCCAACCCCTCAGTCCTACCCTGCCCCACAGGGTTTCACCCCCAGCCCTACCATGTTTATGTCTTGCCAGCTGTGCTGCCTCAGCTCCAGCTCCTCAGCTCCCCTCTGCCTCTGGCTAAAAGCTGCTCCTGGTTCTCACTGCAGCCCAGGGCTGTTAACAAGGACACAAATCAGCCATCTCTTTGCTATCTATCTCCATGAGCTGTCACACCCATCCCAAATGGGCGCAGCTAATGAGACCTGATCCCAAACACACACCTTGCTACAATCCCCCCCCAGCCAGCAATAGGGGCACCGAACCCCCAGTTCCCCATCCCAAAATGTGCCCTTGGGCTGGTTCCGAGCCCCAGGAACCCCCTGGGAATCCACCCCTGCCTGGGCTGGAAACCCCCGGGCAGCTCCATCCCCTTCCCTGTGGCATTTATTTCAGCTCCACGTGGGTTTGGCTCTGCCTCCAGTCCCAAGGCTTTAAACATAAACATAGCCCTTTAAACATAAACATAGCCCTGTGGCCCCAGTCCTACAAATACTACTTATCTAGTAAGAGAATAAAAAAGTACAATAAAAATACTCTACTGCAAAACATTAGTGGAACATAAAAGCAACATAATAATGGAATAAAACAACTTTATTGCCTATAGTTTTAATATTACAGCTCTACTGGGCCGCATCCCGCCCACCCCTCACTCGGGGACAACTCTTCCCCCCACAGGCTCTGCACCAGCCTCCAGCGGCGCCGCTGCCCGACCCTCACGGGGCATAGCGGGCACGGACGGGGCCGGGACGAGCACCGACACTGCCCGGGACGCCGCGGCCCAGCAGCTGCAGAGGTCGGGTCGAGTTCGGATCGGTCCGGTGCCGACTCACCGGCACCCCCCGGCCCGCACAGCTGTGAGGGCCCTAACCCAGCCTCCAATTTCACACAGCCACCACCGGGTCCACTACAACACTGCCATCCACGCTCCGCCGCGCACGCTATTTATAGCCCCGCACCGGCCCGCCCAGCCAATCCCAGCCCGCTGCCCAGCCCGCCCGTTCCCGCCCCGCTCCTCACGCCGATCCCTGCAGTCCCCTCAGGCCCCGCTGCCGCCGCCGCTCTGGGGGCAGTCCCGCCCGCTCGCCGCCGTCCCCCCGGGCACACTGCCGGCGGGAACGTGACCGGAGAGCCCCCGCCGGCCCTTCCCAGGCCCCAACTGCACCTGCCGGGGCTGTGGTAGTGGGGCCGCGGCTCCCCTGGGTCCCAAAGCGGCGGCCGTGTGAGCTGCGCTTCAGGACAGCCGGGCTGAGGGGCCGGGCCGGACTGCGCGGGCAGAGCTTGGCGGCACTGCGGCCGCGTTGAAAGGGCGGCTGGGACTGGCGGGGCTTGGAGTCCCCATGGCATCCCGACAGTCCCCATGGCATCCCGACAGTCCCCATGGCATCTCGACAGTCCCCATGGCATCCCGACAGTCGCTATCCGATCCCAACAATCCCTGTCATATCCCGACAGTGCCTATGGCTCCCAACAATCCTTGTCACATATCAACAAGCCCTGTCACATCCCGACAGTCCCTAGGGCACCCGACACTCCCTATCGCATCCCAACAATCCCCATGGCATCCCTACAGTCCCTATCCCATCCCGAATGCTGCTACCCCGTCCCAAATGTCGCTATCACATCCCAACAGTGGCTCTGCCATCCCGACAACGATTTCAGCTCCAGCCCCACAAGCTTTATTTTACCGCCAGTTCTCCCGTTTCAGCCCCAACTCCACATCTCCACTTCCCCCACGGCCAGGTAAAACTGCTCCTGGTTCTCACTTAAGGATTGTTTTTTTGGTTGCAGCTCTCTGAGGTTTCATCTCCAGCTCTGGAACGCACATTCCAACCCCAGCCTCACAATTTTACTCCAGCCATTCTCTGTCCCAGCCCTACAGTGATTTCAGCTCCATTCCTGTCGGTGCCATACAGTCCCAGCACCGCAGGGACTCCACCTGCTCCTTGCCACCCCTTCCCTGCCCCGGGAGCTCCCGGTGACCCTTCCCGAGCCCCGGGGACACTCCGGAGCTCCCGCTGGCCCATAGGGCACGGCAGGGCCAGGCAGAACCTGGGAGGGAGGGGTGGCAAGGCAAGGAAGGGCTAGAAAAGGGAAGGGAAGGGAAGAATATGCAGGACAAGGCAAGGCAGCGATCATGCCTTAGCTGCTCTTCCCATCCCTTGCCTGTCCCACTTCTCCCTTGCCTTTCCCACCTATCCCTTGCCTTTCCCACCCATCCCTTGTCTTTCGCATCTCTCCCTTGTCTTTCCCACCTCTCCCTTGCCTTTCCCATCCCATCCTTGCTTTTCCCAACCTGTCCTTGCCTTCCCCATCCACACCTTGCCTTTTCCACCCATCTCTTGCCTTTGCCACCGCTCCCTTGCCTTTCCCACCCCGTCCTTGTCTTTCCCAGCTCTCCCCTGCCTTTCCCACCCTCGCATCCCTGGGCGATGCCGCCACCTCGCGGCCACGTCCCCCCTCCCCGGGCTCACAGTGGGGAGGGAGGGTGGATTTCGTGGGTGTGTCCTGCAGGGAAATAAATCCTGGGGCCCTTCCCTCGCAGGGCTGTTCCCCTGCTCCTCCTTCCCTCCGTGACCAGCCTGCCTGAAAAATAACCCCAAACCCCACATCAAACCCTGTAGGGTAATGCTGCCTTGGCTTTTTAGAATTTTTTCTTCTAATTGTGGTTAAGGTAGTTGGGGGATGCAGCCTGCTCTGTACACTTCAGCTTCTGTGACAGCTGTAGACAGGGGCAAAGCACAGCCCCTTCTGTGCCTTCTGTTTTAGGGATTGTCTTCCTTTAACTCATTACTAGCAAGCCATCACTCTGGGACTGATCCCTTACTCCAACCTCTCCTGTCATTTATGCTTTGGGAGAAAGTAAAAAGGAACCTGTTATCAAAATTCCACAATGTGAAGGATGAGCGATCCAGGTTCAAAATGATGTTGTTGAGCAAAATCAGGCATGACTGGATACACGACTCAGAAAATATTCAGTGAATCTTGCTTAGTTTTCAGATTTCTTGGGCTCTTCTTTGTTCAAACTACTTAAATTGGAAAGAGTAGAATAAACATGTAGGATTTAAGTTGAATCTCTGCTGGAAACCACCTCATGTTTTATTAATAAATTGCCCTATGAAATTAAGTGAATAATAAATGATCATATCTCTGGTGGGACACAAGAACATGGCAGTGGAGTGTGTGTGCAAGGTGATGGGCAGGAATTTCTGAAGGTATGATGGGCTCTGAGCTGAAGGTGCTGACCATACAGATGTGGGGTATAGAAGACCTTGTGAAGGAGCAAGTCCTGGTCTGTTCTTGTGCTGTGGTGTCTCTTTACAAAACAGGCTGGCTCTGGGCTCTGTTTTGCTGCTGAGGTGGAGTCAGGTTTGGAAAGCAGCAAGTCTGGAGCAGGGGACAGTGTGGTGGGGCACTGCTCAGCGTGCCTGCAGGCAGTGCAGGAGAGCAGTGAGGAAACTGGGGACACCAGGAGGTGCAGCACAGTCATGGATGGAAACCAGTCCATCCAGAGGAGAGGACACATCCACCAAGGAAGCTAAAGGCTGCAGGGTTCATTCAAGGATTTCAGGTACAATATTGTAAGGTTAAATTGTTCACAATAACTGAACAATTTAAATCTTTTCCAGGTTGTTTTTTTTTTCCTATTAGTTGTCATCCATGTAGCTCATCTTGCTGCCTGTCCGAAGGAATTTCTGTTTCTGACAAGGCTTCCAGCAAGAGCTCCTCCTCAGCCCAGACAAATCCCACCCAATTCTTGGATTACACCACTCACATCAAAAAGTTCTCATGGTTTTGTTCTGCACTGGAGCAAAGCAAAGGCAGCTACTGCAAGGACACTTCTTATAAGCTGTGAGTGTTATTATCAGCTCACAGAGTGGAATTTTGTTGTGCTCTTGTGGGAGTTTTCATGTTCTTACCTCAGCTGTGCAAATGAATCACAGTGTGCGTGTAATATACAGGCATCAGCTTTTTATTATGATTTAAACTCTGGGCTACTTACTCAATCAGAAATTGGAAACACATGGCTTCAGTTTGTAAGGCTTTTTTACTCATGAAATGGTAAAATTGTAGTGGCAGCTTCCAGGGACTTTCAGTCCAAATTTCAGCGTGCATTCAAAAGGAATTGGGGTAAGAGAGCAAATAGTCCTGTGGTGAACCTTGCAGTACAGAAATTTGTGATACTTCTTAATCATCTTCAGAGTATTTTGTGGATGTAACTCATCCCCTGAGATCCAATTTCTTCTAGGAAATTTTCTCAGTAATAATGTTGAGGAGAAGGAATGAACCTATTTGTAAACTTAGACCAGTTATGCTAAAATGAGGATTAAATGGAGGAAAAAAACCTGGGGAGAATATATAAAACTATGGTACAGATGAATTTTGTAATGCATTTTGAAATGATGCTTGTTCAAAAATGGGACTACATTTATTAAAATACAAATAAAAGCCACATAATGGCAAAATAAAGGTGTTATAGTCCTCAAATAAAAAAAAAAATTAAAAAAACCAAGTCAAATTAACCCAGATGTTTAGGATTTACCCAAAAGGAAATTGAGGCTGAGCAAAATATGGAGAGAAGCTTGTTTTTCCAAAACCATTTATTGTCAAGAATGTCTTTGTATCCTGCTTTTTATTTTGCTACAGCACAGAGAAATGTATTCTTTTCTGGGTTCTAAACTTTGTTATCCCCATGAAGTGATACCAATTCCTTTACTAGGACAGGGAGAGAAGGATGAGTGCTGTGCAGCATAATAAGGAATGTAACTTTTTTTTTTTTTTCACGGTGCACATTAATCTGTTGCTTTCCCTAAAAAAATAAAAAAATAATAAAAAAAAAAAAATCAAAAATCCAAACAAACCCTGCAACTCTTGCCAAACAGCCTGGCCTTATCTCCTTCTCTAAGAGTTCATTCACAGTTCCAGCCACAGCCACAGCTGATGGTTTGTGTTGTCAGAAGCGCACGAGGCTCTGCAGTTTTGGTCAGCTCAGAGCTTTCCTGGTGTCCCTGGGACATCCCTGGGAGAGTTATCCCAACACACACCCCCCTGGAGATGTGATCGTGGTACAGCCCGGAGAATTCCACTTAAGAAGCCGAGGGATCATTGTTTGCAGGAGCCACTTTGGAGTTCCATGTGCCCCAGCAGCGTCTGATCCCAGCCAGGTGAGTGCCTGACGGGTGTTTACTCATTAACACCTTTGTCCCCGGGAAGGAAAGCTCTGTGTGAACCCTATCGAGCCAGCACAGTGAGAAAATGCTTTGGATTGCTTGAATTTGTTTAATATATAGTTCTTTCAGAAAGTCACAGCTCTGTGCTAACTCTGATCCAAACTTTATTGCAGGATTTATTGCCAAAGCATGGGTGCTCTGCTTTCTTCTGGATAACCAGTTCCACTCTTTCCTCTACAGGCATCCTTTACAGTTATTCCAAAGAAAGGGGCCAGACTGAGAAAGTGTGGTTTGATCTCTGCTCATATAATTCCATTTGCCATCCTGTCTCTGATTTCCAATATATTGTCAGTTCTCTCTGTGGATTCTTTCACTGTGAAATTCAAGGGGTTTTTGGGTTTTTTTTACTTTATTTCACTGTTCTTGTGAAGGAGAGATTTTTGTACTGTATCTAAAATAATTTATAAGTGGATATATAAAATAATGGAGTGGCCTGATAAGGAGTTACTGATTAATTTGAAATCTCTTTTTATCCTCTTCATTTAAACTAACTTTCATGAAGAGGCAGAATGGAGAGGTACTGGAATTTTGAAGAAAGCTGTTTCCTGTGGTTTCAGCACAAAACCTTGGCTTGAATGAATTAAGTGACAATGCTGTTTGCATTTTCTTCAGAGCTTTTTATAGATCACTTGACTGGATTAATGTTAATTGTAACTATTGCCATCTACTGTATTAAATGACTTTTTAAAGAAATCTGACTGGAATTGTACTTCTCTGATGTTAACTGAAAACGTGTCTGATTTTGAGGCTGTACTGGGAGCCACTGAAGGACAAGATTTCTTAAAACATGAGGACACCTGTGCATTCTGGAAAATCCTGAAAGGAGCCATGGGTTTTGTCTCTGCTTGCAATGATATTTAAGAATTTCAGGATTTTGTTGAAGGTCTCACCTGGAAGTCAGGTGGAGGCAAAAGTCTGCTCTGCTGCTAATGCCATTGCTTTTTAAATCTTTGCCCTTGCCTGAGGGGAGAGAGAACAGTTAAAAGTGTTTCACAGGCAGCTACTGGGGATAAATTCCCATGGGAAAGGCAAGGAGGGGAGAGAGGTAATCCAGCCAGAGTTTATCCTCTCTGAGTGTGTTCTGCCAGGACTTTGAGTGGCTTTGACTATGAAATCAGCATTGCACTGCTGAACAGTCAGCAGTGCAATGCTGATTCACTCAGTTCTCAAGCTGAAAAGATCCCCCACACCCCTGACCATCAGCCAGCCCTACAAATCTGGGGTGTTTCTGCTCATGCCAGGTGCAGCTGTTCCCCCTTGGGCACAGTCACCTGCAGGGGCAGCTTTCCTCAGCAGCTGTTTGCTTCTGCACTCCCATCCTGAGGGGTCAGAATGAGTTTGCACTTTATCTCACTGGGAACTGGTGAGATAGAGAGATGGAGAGAGAACAAGCTGTGAAAATCAGCAGCAGGTTCTTGGCAGAGCTCCTGCTCCACTCCTGGGCTTAGGAAACGTCAGGCTTGGTCCTGACCCAGCACCCACCCTCTGCAGTGCAATCTGAATTGTGATCCCAGCTGAAGCACCACACAACCCCTCCCATCCCAGTGAGACATGAAAGAAAAACCTGGTTAAGCACTGTGCTGTCGCAGTACACGTGTTGTAATTAATTTTATCGTGGAAAAACTTTGGTTTATAGCCTGTTGATTCTGCCAGGCTGTGATGCTATCTGTGAAAGCAGCTTGTGGGCTGTCCAGTGGCTCTCCCCCACATTCCTGCTCAGAAGTGATAGCATATGGGTTGGGATACTCCCAGATGAAAATATGTGGTTTCCTTTTAAGATTTTAAGTGTGGCAAAACTGCACAGCAGAACAAGGTTGACACTGTCCTGTTTCTGCAAGAAGGCAAATGCTTGTATCTCCTTCCCGTAGCTAATTCTTCAGCTGAGCTAACAGAGAAACCTTCTTTATATGCCTATAAAAGTCCTGAGTAACAGAGGCTATAAAATAGTCCAACTAACCTTATTTTGTTGGAAAATCCAAATGCTGGATGAAAGAAGTATCATTAATAATGAAATAATGAAGCTGCATCATTAATAATCATGTATTAATAATCATTAATAATCATGGCATCCCCAGGGCACACAATAAACTTGGTGTTTCACCCAGTCAGGGAGAGCACTGCCATCCAAAACTACTGAGAACCCAGTATCACAGTCATTAATACTGAACAGGGTGCTATTAAATTATCCTGTGCAGCAAATTTGGTCAACATTGAATATATTCTTACTAATGCAATTGCACATCCACACAACACAGATTTAACACTGACTTTATACATTTTTATTCGCTTATGCAGAGGAAGAGAGGCAATCCAGTCCAACATAAAGCCTCCCAGTTAATGTCTTGAGCTGTTTAAAGAATTTGAATTAGTAAATTTCTCCAGAAGACATGCTTCTACTGCAGCAGTAGCAGTGGAACAGCCAAGATCGTGAAACCACAGTGTTTATGAAGTGGAAGATTTTCAACTGCTTTAAGTTCCCCTGCACTTAATACAGATTTGCAAAGTCATTGTGTTGTAAGGACCTGTGATCACTCTGCACAGCAAGAAAGAGCAATAACTTTTTCCAGCTGGACATCTGGAAGTTCCTTTAATTAGTTTTACAGAAAACCAGTTCGGAGTAATTTAAAGCTTTTGGCTGCAGGGCTGCTTTTTTGGAGGCATTCACTGGTTTGATTGTTCTGAAGCAAACTGTGGAGACAGAGATGTTTGGGAAAATACAAAACTATGTTTGCAAACAGTGAAATACTTGAGTCCCTGTTTTGCTCTTGTAGTCCAAACAGTGGCTTTGAGGTTTGTTGAGAAGTCAGTGTTGAGCTGGGAGGTTTTTGTGTGCTGTCAAGACAGGCACACAACTGCAAGTACAAAAGAAACCCCTGAGAACCAGGTGTGGCTGTTAGTCCTGCTAAGGTGACAACTTGGTACCTGCAAATGGACAATAAACTTCAAACTGGGTTTGTACAATAACAGAATGGTTTGGGTTGGAAAGCTCATCTCATCCCAGCACCGTGGGCAGGGATATCTTCTGGACTGCTCAAAGTCCAGTCCAGCCTGGCCTTGAACACTTCCTGGGCTGGGGAGTCCACAGCTTCTCTGGGCAACCTGTGCCAGTTCTCAGGAAAGAATTTCTTCCTGGTATCCGAATCTAAACCTCCCCTCTTTCAATTTAAAACCACTTCCCCTTGTACTGTCACTGTCTGCCCATGTAAAAAGTTGCTCTCCCTTTTTTTTTTTAAAAAAACTCCCTTTAGGAACTGTAAGGCTGCTCTAAGGTTTCCCTGGAGCCTTCTCTTCTGCAGGCTGAGGCACCCCAGCTCTCTCAGCCTGGGAGGTTACCCCAGAGCATGGAATTTGCTGTGTGCATCATTTCTGGCATTCCTCCATGGCCTTCCCAGTCACGGGCTCCGGAACCAGCAGGAATGTGGGCCTGAACTCAGGATTCACTTCTGGAAGAAGCAGTTTCATTTTCAAAGTTTTGTCCAACTGTGGCCTTAAATCCTGCCTGGAAATGCGCTTTGCCCTTTTAGTCCTGGTGCTGTGCATGGAAATTCCTTGGAACAGCAGCTGGAACAGCAAAGTGGGGTGTGTTATAGAATTTATGTGTTACAACACATCAAGCCTCCTCCTCGCAGAGGAGTTTCATCTGGCACCGAGGACCCTCTGCAGCTGCTTGGCCTCTGGGACTGAAAGTGCTGGGTTTGGTTAGGAAAAACCCAGCCCTGCTATCCCTGCACCCCTTGGGCTGGGATGGGAGTGGGAGGGATGGCTGGGCTTAGCAGCTGCAATAACTGCTCTGCCTTTTTACCCTGCATGTCACTTGGTCACACAAAGTAACCAAACTGGGATGAGAGCAGGTGAATTCTGTTCAGGTTTGTGTGTTTATTGTATGAATTCAAGGATAAGGAGGGTGTAGTTCTCCCTCACACACCTGTCTGTTGTGGAACTCCTGTGTAGCAGCTGGGGGAGAGAAAGGTTAGGACAGGGAAATGTGAGTGTAAAGAAACACTGTTGGGTAGTTTAACACTCTAAGCTTATTTTAATGCTCTGAGGAATACCTGGATTTCAAGTGAATGTCCCTTTAATTAATGGCTGCTGCTAAGGCCAGGAGCTGCTATTTGCCCAGAGCTGAATGTGATTTAGCTGTGCTCTGGCTGGCTCTGGCAGAGGAATCATCTCTGAGAATAAACTGTAAGTAAAACTGAGATTGTTCTGTGGTCAGGCTGAAGAGGGGACTCTGCAGCAGCTCCGCTTCACTCTTCTGCTGAATCCCTTTTTCTAAACAGAATGGAAAACTCTGGAAAAACAGGGGCAGAGAAAGACTTAAAAGCTGAGAGGTTGAAAGCTCAGTGAGGTGAGACTCCTGTACTTCTGCTGATACCCCGGCAGACTGGGTGACCTGTAGAGCTCTTCAGTGTTTATTCCCCCTTCTTTTCTCCTCTGTCCCTCCCCTGCAGTGGTCCCTTCTCTCTGCAGAACGACCGTGTCTCTGAGCTGGGGTGCAGTATTTTTAGGACTGTATTTCACAGTCCACTGTTCACAGCTGATATCACATGGCAGAGCAGGCAGCCCTGGCAGAGCTGCCAAGCCCTGCAGTGTTTCCTCAGCACTGCAAGGCTGGAGTGCCAGCTGAGCCAGGGTAAAGCTGTGGGTGTGGAGCAGGGGATGCTCTGCTGCCCTGTGCCCCAGCTGGAGAAAGGAGGAAGGAGTGTGCTTCTTTGTTTTGGAGCTTCAGTCATCAACTGAGGGTCAAAAACTGGGAGCTGCTTCAAAAATAAACCTTGGAATGGGAGCCATGTCTGCCTCAGGCTGTGTCCTGGTAGGTGAACACTCCAGGAGAGGTGGGTTCAGCTGTGCTCCTCCATCCTCAGCACTCAAACCACCAGGCTGTTGTACAGAAGCTGCACTGATATTCTTGATGGAGGGCTTTCCAATGAGAAAGAGATGTTTTTATTGAGTTTAAAATGGGCAGCTCTGGGTTCCTGTGAAAGTGGGTTCTTCCTGGTTCTCCAGATGGTGATGGGACTTCAGTTCAGTGCCTCCTGGGTGGGAGTGAAACATTCAGCAGCCAGGATGAGCCCTGGGAGCCTGAACCCCAAAAACACACTGCAGATGTCACAGGGAGCCTGGAGAGGGGCAGGAGAAGAGACTGGCAGGAGAGGCCTCCTCCTTGTTGGTGTTTCCCTTATTGAACACTGCCTGTGCAGCCCAGGGCGAGGCAGGCAGTGCTTTATCACCACCTTCTGTGCATTGCCACAGAACATTCTGGGCTGTTGTGGAATGGAGCGTTAATCCTGGAAGGTCTCATGTTCCTGTCTGGCAGATAGATGGGGAGAAAGGGCAGGGGAATGAGGTCATGAAAGACCTGTCTCAATGAATTAGGCAGCAACAGAAACCTCATCACCCAGGGGCTATTTTAAAAACACATAGACTCGGTTTAGAATGTTAGATAGCTCATGGGGAATTGTTAATGATCAAGAATGCTAGTTATCATGAAATAATCTATATCCCACCCAAATTAGTCAGACTATTTTGTCGTGGTCTCTGAGGTACCTCTGTAAAATTGATGCGTTGTTCTACACATGAATTTGAAGAACTGGTTTGTGGGGGGAAGGAAATCTATTTGCCCTGTCTTGGGAGGCCACATGCCAAGTGAGAGGCCTTGAGACTTTTTATTGAGGGAGATAACTAACAAGAAAGTAATAGAAGCACAAAATGGCTTTGATGGGGAGGGATCTTAAAGCCCATCCAGTCCTCCCCCTGCCATGGGCAGGGACACCTTACACTATCCCAGGTTGCTCCAAGCTCCATCCAGCCTGGCCTTAGATACTTCCAGGGATCCAGGGGCAACCACAAACAGGTTTCACTCACAAGAACAAAGACCACGATAAATCTCACATTTCCAAGTGTTCCTCATAACTCTTCTGTATTTCTCTCACTGTGCTCACTTGCCCACCCGCAAAAGCTTGGTTTAGTTTCCTGCAGATTTGTGGAATCTCATCCAATTTGTGCTGCAGGTGGCTCAAGGAGCACCAGCTGAGCTCCCTGCAGCTGGACACAGTGGGCGGCTGCCAGGACCATGTGGTGCCATGCTCCAGAGCAGGATGTTGGTTAGTTCAGCCTGCATTTGTCTTTATCACTGTAGGCAAGGAAGGGGAGATACATCTCAAATTCCAACCTGTGTCCAGAAGGAAGAGGAAAGGAACTGACACACAGGACTTCTCCAAACAGGGTAAGTTCAGATGCTCTCACCACTCTCACTCATGAAGCAGAGGTAGCATCCCTCATGTCCTACAAATTTCAAACTATCCTGGATGATTTCTGTGATTGATGTCTCATCTGTAAAATGTTTTAAAGCTATTAATTTGAGCTCTGTGGGTGCAACCATAAACCTGCCAAGTTTGATAGTCAGGATTCTGGGAATACATTGTTTGGGTTTTTTGTTGTTGTTGTGCTTTTTTAAAATACTTTTAGTTCTCATCAGTTATTTGCAAATATTTTCTCCTTCTGGGAAATCTGTTCCCTGAAATGTAACATAAAGTTCAAAGACAATAGTACAAGCCAAAGTATTGTCACTTAAATTAAGATGGAGAAATGTGGAAATCTGGTTTTGGTTTTTTTAGGCATGAAAGTTGGAGTAGATAATTCAAGCTTTAGTAGCCAAAAGAAGAATGTAGGACAGAAAGATGGCCCAGCCCTTCACACATGGTGCAGTCTGAGAGCCAAGCCTCACTCTGCTACCTTTCCAATCAATTAGACAAAGAAAAATGTTGAGTTTGTGCCTGGCCTGGGCTCTTTCCTGATAAGAATTCTGTTCAGACAAAAATATGATCCTTATCTGTAGGATCTTCTTGTGTTTATACTTTCCCAGTCTTTAATCTAATCTAATTTATAATCTGGGGTTTTTTGTTTTATTGTAAATAAATCCGTGACCTCATTTAGAACAAGTTACATACTCTCTTGTTCAAGACCAGGGAGTGGTATCACCTATGGACTTTCAAGACTCTTCATGGTTTGTCCAATATTGATCTTATGTAGACAGAAGATGTCCTCATCAGTGCAGCTCTTCCGAGATCAGAGGTACCACGAGCTGAAGGGGCAGTGCCTCCAGCAGGGGATCCTCTTTGAGGACCCTGAGTTTCCAGCCTCGGATGAATCCCTTTACTACGACTCAGCAGCAAAAGGGAAAGTGGAATGGAAGCGGCCAAAGGTAAAGGATGGATGTGTTTGCACTCCTGCTGGCTCCTCCAGCAGAGACACTTCCACCAAGAGGTGTCTGAGCAAAGCTTTGTTCTGTTCTGAACTGCCACCCTCTCCCTCAGCTGTTTCAGTTTGATTCTGGTGAAGCCTTAGCATCACCAGAAGAGTGGATACCCTTAGCATACCCAGAGAGAGTGGAGAGTTCTCCTTTACTGGTTGATGCCAGCTCTGGTCTCTGCATGGCTGTGCTGAATTCACAGTGGATTTTGTCTCTGACTTGTGTAAAACCTCAATTACCCACCAGTGATCTTCTGTGCCAAATGAACAGCTATTATCTGTAGGCAACCAAGAATGCTTGTGTCTATTTGCCACTTTTGCTGGCATCTTAACAGGAAAACAAATATATAATTTGCTTTGAATTGAGCTAATGTAGTAGGCATTTCAAATCATTAATACCTATATCCATGGTCTATTAATTGGTTTGCTCTGAGGTTTTATGCTTCACACGTATTTTTAAATCAGTTCACAGCCATAAGCAAACAATTCAGAAGAACACAAACACATTCCCATTCTGGCTTTCCATCAGTGTCATCTGTTCTCTTACTGTGACAAGTGTAATGGAGAGGACAGTGGAAGCCTCCAGCCAGATGCAGGCAGTTTTTTTACCTTTAAGCATGATGAATCACTCTTTTACTTCATCCATGTCCAGTTTTGGGGGTGGAATTAATCTTCTGGAAGTACACACTTGGGTGTCTTTCCTTAGAAAACACAATGCCAATGTGATGTCCTTCATATACAGCTGGTGCTGTTCTGTGTCCTCTGTGACAGGGGACAGCAGATGAGGCTGACCAAGGCTGGACTCTCTTTGCCAGGATGGCCTGAGGCTGCTTCTCTTTTGTGCTTCTCTTCTTCTTTCCTGGTGCTCATTCCTTACAGCAGCTTCTCTACTGGAATTTTAGTGAGCAGTGCAAGGGTTGCTTTCCTGCTTCTCATTTCAGTTTTCCAAGACCTGAGACTGAAAAATGGGGAGAAGTAATTTGGGAAAGAAAAAGAAGACATTCCAAAGTCTGTGGGTTTATTTTTATTTCTGAGCACTTTCCTGTTTATTGGAGTCTTTCATCCCCTCCTAGAAGAGAAAATACTGTGCAACCATTCACAGTGAGGTCAGGAAGAGTGTTTGTTCTTCATAAAAGATGTGAAGCAAGAGCTGAACTCTAGCCAAGGATGCCATTTTGGGCCATTCTTGTGCCTATGAGTTTGTTCAAGGTGGTGGTCAGTGGTTTGAAGTCTAATTGTAGGTCAGTGATTAGCTTTGCTTTCAATTATTACCCATGAAACATGATATTAATGTGGGAAACCTCGCATATTAATGTTATATTTACATCAATTTTGTTATCATTTGCCATAAAACCACACACAGATTGACCTGACCCTCCTGAGATGTTGAACCATATCCCACCAGTCCTGGCCTCTGCTGACCAGAAGTTCGGAGGGTGAATTCTGGTGTTGATGCCAACAACACAGAACCATAGAATCACATATTAATGTTCTATTTACATCAATTTTGTTATCATTTACCATAAAATCACACAGATTGACCTGACCCTCCTGAGATGTTGAACCATATCCCACCAGTCCTGGCCTCTGCTGACCAGAAGTTCGGAGGGTGAATTCTGGTGTTGATGCCAACAACACAGAACCATAGAATCTTCCAGGCTGACAAAACCTTCTAAGATCATTGAGTCCAACACTTACCCTGACACTACTGAGTCCACTACTAAGCTAATGTTCATACACCAGGTCTCTAAAACATCACTTCCAGTAGCACTCAGTTCCAGTGCTTGACAACCCTTTTGGTAATGAAATTTCTCCTTGTATCTAATCTAAACCTCTCCTGATGTGTGAATCCTTTGCTGGTGTTTCAGAACATTGGGCTCTGCTAATAGCCCAGTTCCTCTGAGATAAACCTGAAATAGCAACTGAGCTGAGCACAACCATTTCAAAGGTGCAGCATCTTCCAGAGCCCTTCAGCTCATGCAGGAAACCTTCTGGGGAGATTCTCTGTGGGGAAAAACTGCTGGTTTGTGGGAAAAAGAGTAAGAAACTCAGAATGTCCCTCTGGTTAGTGGACATTCTTTCTGCCCACTGATATTAGCATCATCCTGCTCTTTTCCTGTGATTTCCCTGGAGTTTCTCCCCTCTGCCAGGCTGAAGTGGGGCAGGGGGCAGCTGTGTCCTGCCAAGAGGGATGTCCTTGGCCACCTGTCCTGGTTAACACTGCCTCTGTGTGGTCCTGCTCAGCATGGGCTGAAAATAGCCAGGAATTCCTGTCACTGCTGAATGGATACTTTGTCTTATTTTTTAACTAAACCTGGGTTTGTGTGAACTTTTTCATTGACCCTGCAAAAAAGGATGGAATCTCAAGGACATCTTTGTCAGTGTTAAACAAACAGCAGTGATCCCCCAAGCAGGGCAGGCAGGCATGTGAGGAAAGAGTGGTCCAGCTTGCTTCAGAGATAAACAGTGTTCTTTAGTTATTCACAAAGGAAAATAGTCTGATCCTACAGAATGAGACTCTTATCATGTGCTTTTCTGGTTTCCCTGCTTGACCCTGTGTTTTTAAGCCCTGATTCTGCTTTCATCTGCATCTTCTCTTTATGAGAGGGCTGTGATTGCACCCTGATGTTCTGGGAAGACAGAGCTGGTCTGTGTCCAGGAAAACAGCACAGAAAGACACCGTGAGACAGAGCTGCTGATCTGCTTCCCCAGAAACCCCTCCTGTGTCCCAGCCCACTGAGGGACACTGCTCTGTTTGATTAAATTCCCATTAACTCCAAAGGTCAGCTACCTGGCTGAAGGTGGGAGTTGCATCTGCAGAGCCCAGTGTCCTTTTTCCTGGAAACACTGCATGCCATGGGCCCCATTCTCCACTCTTCTCACCAGTTTTCCAGCCTTTTCAGGGGTGGTTATCACCATGCAAAGGAAAAGTCCAGGAAATAAGGCAGTACTGTGTTCTGGAATGATACAGTGATAAGAATAGATGGAACAAGTGTCTCCCCACTTCCCAAATTGGGATGTGTGGGATGAGCAGGTTGGTGATTTATCCAACCTTTATTCTCTGCTGTCAGAGAATTCAGGAGCTCTGACTTTGGCACCTTCATGTGTTTACTGGAGGCAGCAGCAGCTTTTGTTTGCTTCTGGTGGAAAATGATCCATTGTCTCAGGAGCTGAAACATCTTCATATTTACAAATGCTGATTGAAACCCTAAACCCTCCCCGACCTTGTTACCTATTTAAGATTTTGCTTTCATTTAGAAGACAGAGGAAGCTTGGGGAAAATCCCTGTGTGGGCACTTAGAGTCTGGGTGAGCTTTACAGATTTTGCATTAATGTTCTTTATTCCACAGTGACAGGATTTGTGGTCTCAGTGTCCTCCAGAATATTCAACAGTAACTCAGTTGTCATAAATTTCATGGAATGAGAGTCATGAAAGATTTGGCTCTCAGGTTAAATGTCCCTCAGATGTAATGCTCCTCATCATTTAATTCCTCTGACTCAACTGTAGCTGTGTCACTGCAGTCTGACCCTGTTTTCCAGTTTGAACAAGACCAGAGACATCTGCTTGTGTTTGGGACTCGTGTGGAGCCCAGTGGTGCCTGTAGGAGAGGGAGGTGTCCTGGCACTGTGTCAGGCTTTGAGCAGTTGCATGACCACTGCAAGAGCAGTTTCAGGGCATGGAGAGGAGTGACAGCTCATCACACCCTGGGATATCTGCCAGGATGGGGCCTGGGGGGAATCCAGAGCTGGAGGAGAGTGGATATTAAAGGGGAATGCCATCAGCTGCATGGCAGTGATGTGCACTCCTCTCAGAGCAGCTGCACTGCTGCCTTCTCTGTGACAAAGTGATGGGCTTGTACCAGCCCCCGTGAACAGTGACACTTACCTGGTCTGCCAGATCCCCCCTCCATGCCCCAACACCCTTCTGGAGTGTGGCTCGTGGTTAAATGGTCACTTTTTCACATCTGAATGTGCCTTTTTAATTCCTTCAACCCCTTTTTTTTTTTTTCCAGTTAAAAATATGGAGTAACAGCAATCATTTTGCTTAATTAGAACAGGGGTCCCTCCCCAACTCTCCTCCGCACCCTTAAAGATTTGCATTACATAATTATTATTTTCCTGAAAAAATTACTTATTCTGCAAAGGCTACACGTACTGAAACAAATGAAGTTTAGGCTTCTGTTTCCCTGCCTATCCCAGAATTGTCCACATTTCTCTGCTGTTGGTGGTTATTGACTCTTGTTCAAGTGTAGGTAAACAGAAGCTGCAAAGCTCTGTGTGCTGACTTTTGTGTTTGCACTGGAAATAATGGCACATGTAGCATCTGGGAGGTGAGGAAATGTGTTTCAAAAGGTGCTGAGCTTTGAGGGAGTTCACAAATCCTTTCATGTGCCTCAAGCACAGCTGGGGACACAAAGGTGGTTTCAGGTTGGAGGCTGTGTGAGCCAGTGTCTTGTGGTTTGCTTGTTTGCTGGGCTTCCCTGGGACTTGTTTGTAGCAGAAAAGGGCTGTGAAAGACTCAGCTTTGCACTAAGATGAAATCAATCCTGAACTGGCTTCTTTTCCCTGTGTGTCTGTCACATCCTGGATCTCAATACCATGGATCTTGTCCTCCAGACAGTCCAGCATCCTTCACTGGGTGACTTTCAGACATTCACTCCATGACTGCAGCTGTACAGGGCTGCTGGAGGATTTTAGGACTTCCTAGATGACACTGGTGATCATTTCAACAGGCATTTTTTTGTGCTGTAATTACTTGTGAGTGCACTAGCAGGGAGGCTGTTTGCCATTGTTGCAAATAGTTTTCCTTGCCATTAAAAGCAGATTTAGATCGTGATCTTCAGCTACAGCTCATTATCTGTGGAAAAGTTTAAAGTCAGATGTTTCTTTGTTAACTGCATGTGTGTGTATATAAAGAGAATTATTGCAGTGCACCTTAATTTTTATAGAAGG